TCCAGCTAACTGATATCACAGACTAGGTAGTTGTTGGTCGATGACAAGTTAACGTCTGCTTCCAGCTAACTGATATCACAGACTAGGTAGTTGTTGGTCGATGACAAGTTAACGCCCGCTTCCAGCTAACTGATATCACAGACTAGGTAGTTGTTGGTCGATGACATGTTAACGTCTGCTTCCAGCTAATTGATATCACAGACTAGGTAGTTGTTGGTCGATGACAAGTTAACGTCTGCTTCCAGCTAACTGATATCACAGACTAGGTAGTTGTTGGTAGATGACAAGTTAACGCCCGCTTCAAGCTAACTGATATCACAGACTAGGTAGTTGTTGGTCGATGACAAGTTAACGTCTGCTTCCAGCTAACTGATATCACAGACTAGGTAGTTGTTGGTAGATGACAAGTTAACGTCTGCTTTCAGCTAACTGATACCACAGACTAGGTAGTTGTTGGTCGATGACAAGTTAACGTCTGCTTCCAGCTAACTGATATCACAGACTAGGTAGTTGTTGGTAGATGACAAGTTAACGTCTGCTTTCAGCTAACTGATACCACAGACTAGGTAGTTGTTGGTCGATGACAAGTTAACGTCTGCTTCCAGCTAACTGATATCACAGACTAGGTAGTTGTTGGTCGATGACAAGTTAACGCCCGCTTCCAGCTAACTGATATCACAGACTAGGTCGTTGTTGGTAGATGGTAGATGTAGACAACAGTGGTGTTTGTATGAGGATTGGAGAAGGGAGGGGGGGGGGGTATCTGGGCTTCCTCATTTATATACTATATATATTCATAGATTCCCAGTAATTTATAACTAAGGAAAATATATAGATTATAGTTAATACACAGAAGACGATATAATACAACAGAAGGTGTGTTTCAAATAGACATAATACTGGAAACCAGTCTCTGTAAACAAACTAATAACCTATTCTAAGAGTGGTTTATAAAGAATATCTAATTACAGTTCAATGTCTACAAATAAGAGTAAATTGGTGAAACCTTTCTTACTAAGCTTATATTCATATGTAAGATGTAAAATAAATAATGACAGTATTATAAATAGACAGCATTGATCAGGCGAGACTTAATTGATCAGGGTTGTAGGTAATAATATTAGATAGACCTGGAGGGGCAATGGTGTATAGTATTTGGTTGCAGTAATGAAATTGTTCGGTTGTCAGATACATTGACCCCAAGCCCTCCAAATTAAACAACCAGAAACCAAGAAAACTACAGACATATTGTCTGAACATAGTAAATAGTTTTCAGAATTGTTTCAAGGTTTTTTTCTGTGAACTGCAATAATAATTAGTGTTGTATATATTTTATTGTAGGGAAACGAGATTTCAATATAGCCTCTCTTCCAGACAATGGCCATCTGACGACTACACGGTAAGAGTTATCGTTCTTTGTTTTAACTTGGGGGGTAATTCAGTAGCCCTCTATACATAGAAATCGGTGGTCCTATTTACAATATAATTTCATATGAATGTTACAATGCTGAGATGTTGGACTTCGTTTGTTAAAAACTGTTTCTGTGGTGACAGAGGTGAGAGGCGGGGTCCTGAAATACTTGTTTTCAGTGGCGACCCCAGTGTGGGTACAGGGGGGTGGGTTTGACATTTGCTCTCCTAGAAAAATGGTTTGTTCCGTCAATTAATTGTACTCCAATTCATTTTTAACCTATTTAAAAGTAACATTTTTATACCTTCTCATACAGATGAAACTACCAACGGCTTTGTGTTATTTACAGAAAGTGTTACTAACTGCTCTCTGTTATTTTACAAAAAGTGTTACTAGCTGGTCTCGGTTATTTTACAGAAAGTGTTACTAGCTGCTCTCTGTTATTTTACAGAAAGTGTTACTTACTGATCTCTGTTAATTTACAGAAAGTGTTACTAGCTTCTCTGTTAGATTACAGAAAGTGTTACTGGCTGCTCTCTGTTATTTTACAGAAAGTGTTACTAGCTGCTCTCTGTTATTTTACAGAAAGTGTTACTAACTTCTCTCTGTTAATTTACAGAAAGTGTTACAAGCTGCTCTATGTTATTTTACAGAAAGTGTTACTAGCTGCTCTCTGTTGTTTTACAGAAATTTTTACTAACTTCTCTCTGTTATTTTACAGAAAGTGTTACTAGCTGCTCTCTGTTATTTTACAGAAAGTGTTACTAACTTCTCTCTGTTATTTTACAGAAAGTGTTACTAGCTGCTCTGTGTGTGAAGAAAACAGAAGAAGAATGTCAGGAATTAAAAGACATGGACCTCAGACGCCTGTCGTAAGTTTATTCCTGAAGTTTATTGTTCACAAAGTTTCAATAATTTACATCACTAGGTGAAAACTAGGAGTAGGATACCTTAAAATTGTGTTTCGTCTCTACCCCTAAATGTCATTTCTGGGGGTTTATTGAATATTTGTAAAAAGTCTTCCGAAGTACAAGAAATGTACGAAAATCGCATAATTCCTATAAAAAATACTTCTAACTGGGAATTTTACTCACTATTTCTATACATCACACAGTATCTTAAATTGACGAGTCGTCATTTTAACATTCAAACACGGATAATTCTGGACACACATGGATTGGAAGGATCAAATTTCGACGGTGAGCTGTGAACACTATTAATTAGTGGCTTATTTCCCGTTTCTGATAATAAAGTATGATTGGTCACAAAACTGACGCACCTGTCCCTTTCAGAATCACTTTATTAATATTATCGAATTATATTGGAATTTTTCAGGCAGAATTTTATCAAGTTGAATATTTATTATGAAGATTTAAATTATGAAAATATCACCGAGGAAGAAGATTACGAGGTGAATTATCTCCCTTTGTTCTACTGTTTGTTTGATATTTGAATGAAATTGAGTGGTCATTTTACTCCTTCTCGAAAGTTTGTTAAATTAACCTTAAACGGAACGAAAATTTGGTCTAATTTTAATTAGGCTGGTGTGTTTATTTCCAGACGGCCCAGTTTATATCAGATGTAGGAGGAACAGTTGGATTATGGATAGGACTATCTATATTGAGTATATTTGAGCTGGTGGAACTCGTCGTTCGGATTCTCCATTTTATTACTTTCTTTATGTGGTGTCGGACTCGATCTTCAACTGATAAAAAATCTCCCGACCTTCCTCGACATCACAGACCAGAACCTAATGGCTGAGTTTGATAAATTTATTATGGTATTTGCTTGTTCTACTTCTTCTTTTGAGTCCAAACATAGAGTGTCACATCGGGTACCAAACTCGCGAATTGTCGTTCCTTGATGTAGGTGGTGCCATCTTCAGGCGCCGATAATCAGAGCTTGATTCCCCATACACATAGCACAATTTGTGTATATTCTGAAAGTGCGTCCAATAGCGTTCCTACGGGGGAGGGAGTGCAGAAAAAGGCTGACACAGTCTTGGCCCCACTTTCAATTTTTTTTTTATCATATTGCATTGTGGAAGAATGGCCTGTGCTCCCCGGGTAAATTTTTTGATCCCTGCTAGGTCCCCTCACCTTATGTTTCAAGAAAACGCCACTGGGTAAGTCGAATCTACACAGAGTATTCCCCCTTAAGTTTTACAGTCATGCAAAAAACATATTATTTCCGGCTGTATAGAGTTGTCTCCCTTTTAACAAAAATGACGTCTTCAAATTCAACTTGACGAAGGGTAAAGGTCATTTATATTTCCTACTCTAAATGTCACAAATAGCAATAAATATAACTTTAATGAAACAAATCATAGAGAAAAACAAACAGTCGTTTTAAATCAGCCTGGAATATAGGGGGTAATTTTGACAAATTTGGCGCTTTGTAGTCCAGCATAAAAATAGATTGCAGAGAAAACCTAACAGTAAGTATTTATAGGGGGAAGGGGGGTAATAGTAGGATTTATAGGGGGACGGGGTGAATAGTAAGGATTTATAAGGTGATCAAGGTTCCTGAATAGAAAGAAAAAAAATCGCTCATGAGCGTATTTGTCCTAGTTTTGGAAAGTTATCGTCAAAAGATTCGTTTATCCGAAACACTTGTCGGCAACACGAGATACAATCTGGGATCAAACCAGAGGTGTCTCTCTGAGGCGAGGCCCAATGTTCACCACTAGATCACGTCTTATTTATTACAAGTCTGTGTAAACGGGGGGTGGGAAGGTGAACGGATTTCGATCTCGCAGTATTGAAGACTGTGATAGTTTCACCGGAGCGGACCTCTGAGAGTAAGAATGAGGGACACGGTGGGTGGGGAAAGAAGTATGGTTTTGGACAAAAGATGTTATTGGTGATCGCACTGTGGACATCCCAGACTGGTTAGGTGTTCTAGTAGAATGCCAGTAGGGAGGTGGTGGGTGTAGAGGGGACGTAAAGGCGCCCGTTTTATTTATTATGGGGGCGGATCGGGGAGAATATTGCTGTGTGGTGTAGGAAGGAAGGTGGAAAGGTTCAGACGAAGTTGGTGAGTAAGGGACATGGTTGTTAGTATAGGGACGGGGAAGGCAAGGTTCAGACGGGGTGGGGGAGAAAGGGGTTGAAGAAATGGAAGTAGGGGATGGGGAAAAGGGTGGAGAAGACAAAACACTGACAGGAGAGAATGTTCGTTCAGAATGACTAGTTGGGGATGTCAATCCACTGGCAGTAGGCCTGTCTTTAGTAGGCCTTCTTATAGTTGAGTATACCCAACTGGAACTTGGTGATGACGTAACTCTCAAATCGTCACTTGTAGCAGACGTAATATTGGGTGACGTAATAGATTGCGTCATGGAAGCTGGCGACACTCTGACAGGTGTCATGGTAACAGGAGGGGGGTTTATTCCTAGACGTAACCGTGAAGTGTAAATACCACTCTCTGTAGTTAGAATTCGTTTTGCCAGTTCTGGAGATTGTCTGAGAAATTCTGCTGTGGCTGAACCCACTGTGTGTCGTGTTGGTCTCTTTCTTCTCTGAAATAAAATATCATCAAATATCAAATATAATAAGGTGTGGGAATGACTGTTTCATGATATTTCCTGATAAAAAAAACGGTAAATATTTATAGTTAATTTATTTTCATAATAACAAGAGACGTCACAGTTAAATTAATAGTTATTAGTTAACAGTTTTTGAGATGAAATATTGACATGGAAACAATTAAATATCAACTGTTTTTATGACTTGAAATGAATTATGAGTAACTGAACATTTCATTAATTAAATGGCACTGTATTTTTTTATCTGTATACGTCACAGATTCGAAATGCTGTTCGTAATGACTATTTCTTTGGTAAACCAAATTTTTAAACAATAACCTTTCGAAACATGCATTATTTTACACGTGCACATACAAAATTGTTTCGATTCCAATGTTCATGGTTCTACTCTCGTACGAGGTTGATTCTAGGATGGACTCGTATGAGAAATTTCGCTTTGGAAAAAAAATATCACAGACATGTAATGCACATGCAAAACTACTCCACTATCATGCACATTCTAATCACGTGGTACAGTCGCGTAATGTAGGTGAGCGCATCATGCACTGTGTATGTTTATTATATATCATTCATTGCAAAAACGTGCCGGAGATTTTGTTTCCAGCTTTCCAGTACGTTACACAGTGAATTATGCACATTGTATCTGTTTAACCACAGGATTCTAAATCTATTAACAGAAAGCAATCAAAATCTCGTTCAAAGAATGGTAAAATCTGGAGTAAAAGTTGTATAGTAGTGGACTCCAAAATAAGGTAACACATTCTACAATTCAACATCTCTCTTGTAACCTGGTCGTATATTGCTGTATTGTCACTTTATCGACCGTGCAGACTTTGTCGAATGAACATGCACATTTTCAAGTGAATTTTACATGCTATCTTAAAAACATCGCTAACACAATCATACACATCGTGACCTGTTTGAAAGAACGTGCATTGTGAATTCTCGACCATGCAGACTTTTAGCAAAGTGGAGTCTTTCCAAAACACATGAAATAACCGATCGGGACGTGTGCAAATTAAATGCAATTTTGATCCTAATACTAATCTTCACACGCACATGCAAGTTTATTTGGTCGCTTCACGGACATTGATATCGACATTGTTGTAACACATGCAATTCAACTTCAGACAGATGCACGTGCAATTTAACATCACACAGATGCACGTGCAATGTTATATCACAGCGTTACACGTGCAGTGTTACATCACACCGTTACACGTGCAGTGTTACATCACACCGATACACGTGCAATTTACCCACAATTGAGACCAGAACGTACACACGTGCAAACTGAGATCACACCGTTACCTCCACATCTTGTCTTATTAATGAAGAATGACCGGAAGTGGAACTCGATTCTGACTCGGAATATTTGTGATGGAAATATCGTGAGTGTTTATCTGAAAGGTGAGACGATGAGGAGGATAACGACGGAGAATGCTGACGTTTTTCAAAACTTGTCTCTAGATCTAAACACTTCTTTTCTTTACAATCTTTATTATTTTTATCAAACTCTTGCTCGAATTCTGAAATAGATAAGTAAAGAAATTGATATATAATCATATTATGACGTCATATCGTTGTTTATTGCAAAGCCCTATAGATGTATATAGGGCTTTGGTTTATTGTATTGTTCTTATGACGTCATATCGCTGTTTATTTTATTGTTACTATGGCTTGAAAATATAGAATTAAAACATGTTGGTAATAAATATAAATTATCTTTAATGGTGTTGTTAATCTATTTTCACTGATATAATAGGGCGATATAGAAATATTTATACATATCCAACGTCATGACAAAAGATAGAACCACTGTCATATTTCAGGAGGTGGGTCATTGGGCCATCTTCCGTAGAACAATAAGATGTAAACTGTATTCAAGACAGTCCTATAAGGGATAAAACTGGGTGTATTTCATGTCAATACAATGTAAGAACTGCGATTCTCCAATTACATTAATTTCATTACTACTCTATCAAGAAATCTGATTTACCTTTTATTTCCCAATCTTCCCAATGACCTTCATCTTCCTCAAGGTCATCCTCTGACGTCATATCCCAGTCTGACCAGGGCAGGGTTTTCTGTGATTTCAGGTTATCAATTGTGTCTTGACATCGTCTGAACTGACCCAAGATTTGTTGATCTTGTATCTTTAAATTAGACTGAAATTATAAAACAAGGGGAGGTAAGTAAGATTTATACAAGAACAAGGGGAGGTAAGTAAGATTTATACTAGAACAAGGGAAGGTAAGTAAAATTTATACTAGAACAAGGGAAGGTAAGTAAGATTTACACCAGAACAAGGGGAGATAAGTAAAATTTAGTCTAGAACACGGGAAGGTAAGTATGACTTATACTAGAACGAGGGGAGATAAGTAAAATTTAATCTAGAACAAGGGAAGGTAAGTAAAATTTAGTCTAGAACACGGGGAGGTAAGTAAAATTAAGACTAGATCAAGGGGAGATAACTGTAATTTTGACTAGAACATCTGTAGATGTCTTTTGGGATTTTTGCATGCCTATTTTTAAGTTATTTTTGGTCTAGATTTTGAATTTGATGTCTGAAATTGATTTATTTTTAAGATTTGGTGAGATAATGGGAGACTTAAAGGCGGAAGGATAATTCTAAAAATAGTCGTTTTGTGAACTGCCAAACTCTAGCCTCTCCTGAAATATTACTTGTGCCTCCTGATATATTACTCGCCCCTCCTGATATATTACTTGTCCCTCTGAATATATTACTTGTCCCTCTGTATATATTACTTGTCCCTCCTGATATATTACTTGCCCCTCAGGATATATTACTTGTCCCTCTGAATATATTACTTGTCCCTCTGTATATATTACTTGTCCCTCTGAATATATTACTTGCCCCTCCAGATATATTACTTGTCCCTCTGGATATATTACTTGTCCCTCTGAATATATTACTTGTCCCTCTGTATATATTACTCGCCCCTCCTGATATATTACTTGCCCCTCAGGATATATTACTCGCCCCTCCTGATATATTACTTGTCCCTCTGAATATATTACTTGCCCCTCCTGATATATTACTTGTCCCTCTGTACATATTACTTGTCCCTCTGGATATATATCTTGTCTCTCCAGATATATTACTTGCCCCTCCTGATATATTACTTGCCCCTCTGAACAATCAAGTCTGGCTACATATTGCTAATGTGTACATGCCTTAAATTTCCCCTATGACCTCAAGTTATTTATAACTAAGATTCTGTCAGTCTCTGGTGGTTTTATAGTTATTTTATGATCGTGGTACAAGACATGTATTGTTACAGGTGATGACGTCACATTATTACATGACAGTCAGCCAAGGTGAACTTCAACCAGGTGTTCGATTGTCACGTAGAGTTTTGAAGAAAATGTGTTTTACGTTCGGAATCTGATTGGGCATGTAAGAGACTCGCAAAGCTACACAGTGAGGAGCTTTGCCAGGACACCGGTATTATCCTACTTTTCTTCGATTTCCAATTGTCGTGGGATCTTTAATGTGCAGGGCTTGCAGTATGCATCGTTTAATGATCAGAAAATTGCTTCAGTCTATAATTCAGACGACTGAATATCAAATTGAGAAACATCCGGATCAGACGAAAGATGAGATCAGGTTTCTATCAGAATCTATTTGTTTTATTGGGTTTAATTTGAATATTACCTGGTTACTATGGTAACGGCCATAAACATTGCCTGATGACAGAAATGTAATATTCTCTCTAGAAGTGGAGTTTATTGTAATTAACTATTATTTTATCAGCACGCTAACCACTTGTCATTTTCACACAAAATATCATTAGAAATAGAAATATTTAAACAGAACAACTGTGGGAATTGAGAATGCAGAAGTTCTGTGGAATTGTTCTAGTCACAGAGAGCCTCCAATGAAGGTGCTGAGGGAGTTCTACCCCAGGGAAATGTAAAACGTGGCATTGCTTCATATTTTGGGGCAAAAACGTACAAAAAAATAATGTATGAAATTTCTTAGAAAAAAAAAATATCCTTTTCTGCAAAATGGCCAAGTGCTGTCCGACTTAATTATATTACCTACAGTGACACGCCCCTTAAAAGTTAGTCCAACATTATTCTGGCCATATCAAGAGGAAAACAGCTTAGAAATCGATCAAAATGGCCGAACTCCGCTGGTCAATATCTGGTCAATTCCCATAACTATAAAACAGATCGAACTTATAACCTTATAATGGTCAAATAAATTGTTTTCCCGATGTTTTTTTTATAATTCACAGTAATAATAAAGGTAAGAAATCGACCAGGCTTTCAACAGACGGCCATAGAAATTGATTTTATTGTAGCAGACGAGAATATTTGCCGCCAAACGACGTTTTCATCATAATACAACAACAAAATAGATCAACAGGCGATAGCTGGTCGATTTATCTTCAGAGAGAGGAGGAAAAGGGGGGGGGGGGGGCTTATATTTCTATAATTCGTATTTCATCTATGTTAAAAGAGAAAACATTCAGATTTAAAGAAATACACGAACGTTTATTAATCTGAATGGTTGTACAACTAAATTTAAATTGAAGGGACATGGCGCCATTTTGGGGTGTTGATTTGAGTGTTGAATCTATATGAACAGTCTTCAGAAGTACTTGAATTGTAAGAAAATCACAAATTTCTTTAAAAATATCACAAAAAAGAAATCCTACTCACTATTTCTATATATCACAGAGTATGACGAATCGTCATTTTAATTTTCAAACGCGAATAATTACTGATACACATGGATTTGAAGGATCAAATTTTGACGGTGAGAGGTGAACACTGTCACTGATTCCCGTTTCTGAGAAGGAGGTACGATTGGCCAAAAAATGGTTCATCCCTCCTTTATTTTTAGTGAATGACAGGGAAATTTTATTTATCTGAAGTTCAGTTTTCAAGAATAAACGACGTGATATACAATGGTTTTGGATAATAAAACTTGTAATATTCGTTCAGATAGAAACATGTTTTTTATAGAAAGAATATCGACCTTGACGTGTTATTATGATAATCCGATTTGTACATGTGTTGTTTCGCTAAAAATATCTTACGTGTTTCTTGATCATAAAATATATTATAACTTTCTTTAATATCTTCAACACAACAGCTTGGTCTTTATTTTGTTTTTATCGATATTCGGTTGGTTTTTGTTGTTCTTATCTTTTTATTGTCAAAATCTACTGATATTTAAAATAACATTATTCTCAAACTTTCTTTCAAAGTCATTTGAAATACTCTTCGTAATAACTGCACTTTTATTACGAAAAGCTAGCATCATATTCGTCAAAATTGTCCAGAAACAGTTTCGAATAAATTTGGTCGAAATTGGTTGATTCAGTAATATATGAAAAGCTTTTCAAACTTTCCACATGCGTTCTGCAACAGATTCAACTTTACGGAAACTGCCGAGGATTGCCGAGTGAACCAATCTTTGAAGTAGGCCTACGTTTGTAGAATAAACACGTCTATTGGACTGCTGCCTACTGATGTCGGTTCTCCTATAAATCCAAACACTGTGCGCAACAAAAAAAAACCTTTAAAAAAAACTTACCAATTCTGTCCGTAACCATGACAACGCGTCATCAATTCGTTTCTTCCTTTCCCGCCAACTGCAAGGTGTGTCTGGGTTATCTAATGATGGGGGTGGGGGGATATTGACTCGGATCTGTTCCCACTGTTTTTCTATAAATATAGGAATAGACACTGGTCGCATGATAGCTGCCTCTGGGGAACCTTTCATTGGTAGAGTTTTAGTTGTTATGTACATTCTTCTCGTCGGTTATCCTGGAAACACAAAAAAAAATCAAAATTTAAAAAGTTATCAATGTTTTTTGATAAGCATTTTTGGTGCAGTTGAACTATAAATAGGTAGGATAATCTAGGAAATATCAATGCTAATAGGTTTGACCAAGGAACAGCTGACAGAAAGCATCCTTGACTGTGAACGTAGGTTGTTATCCTTGTAAAATCATTACCAAGAGGTTTGAAAAAGGTAACTAAGATACATATATTCCAAAAATAAAATAAAATGTAGGAGAGATTCATGATGGAAGTTAACAGGCTATTTCTCTAATCGGGATTAGCCTACTAATTTGAAAATGGGGGAGGGGGGTAGGCCAGATGTGTACACTTGTAAAAACCACCTGGACCAACTAAACCTCATATAAACAGACAAATTCAAATTCTATACGGGACAAAGAAACCTAACCGCTTTTTATTCAAAAATAGATAACAATATCAGTTACAAAATCCGGTTAAAGAAAAAAGACTGTCTACCCTATTGATGGTCGAGGAGGCACAGAATTCTTAGGGGTTGGGGTCGGGACATATCTGTCTGAAAAAAAGAACTTCCATCTTTGTAAGTATAGTAGCCTATGTAAGTATGACGAATGATGTGGTCTGGACACGATGCCCCCGTCTGCTTCGCTTATGCCTTTATATTATAAGTACAATTCAAAGTTTGTGCCCCTGTGTATCTAGATAAAGACCGCCTATCTACCGTGAAATCAACACCCATCATTTATCTTACTCAATCTGTCATTTTAGTCTTTGTACAATTTTCACGCTTCGTAATTTTAAAGTGATACTATCCTCGGAAATTTATAAAACTAACAATAAACGTTTAAGAAAAGAATTTTAACTATTTCAATATCATTGTTGCCTGACAGACCGTTGGTATAAGGCAGCACAGGTACCGAATTTCAGATGGTTTAACATCATTTTTAAACTAAATCAAAGTAGTTTCTTAAGCCCCGTCACACCAGAAAGACGGAAAATTGGTTCAGAGCGTGTTAAAGTCGCTATGAGTGTGGTATAATAAGCATGTAGGACATCGTGGAATTGTCGCCATTGTCGCCCCTTTAGATTAAAAAAAAAAGATCGACAAAACCTTTCAAATTTTAAATTTATGTGATATCCAAGAATGTGTCATGAGTCTATAGTTAATCCTGACTTTTTACTACCGAACAGCAACATAATGAACAGACAAATTATTTCAAGATGTATAAGTACTGCCTACACAAACAAAAATATCTAACATGTATGATCCTGTATTGTTTTTATATATTTATTATTTCCATGGTTATTAATGATCCTGTAGGAACCAGTATTCTTCTTAAATATTTCAGATTCTAGATTTTCATTTCAAATATTTTATATAGAATTATTCACACAAACAATACTCTCTCACTAGAGGTAAAACCTGCATGCTTGTGCCTGTGCTTTCGTAACATTGTTTAACCTAAAATTCCTACCTTCTATGTCTTTAGTCCTTCCTTATAAATTAAATTCTAACTCAAATTCAAAATAAAAAGAAAGTGAGGAAGTAAGAGATATTATAGTAGAAGATGAAACGAACTGACGGAAGTTTGAAAAGAGTTTGATTTCCGTTTATTGATAAAGATGCGGACTTTATGATGTTCATGAAAAGTTGAAACTATTAAAATATCAAAAATCATCACTACTCGACATTTTTACGTTATTTATTTCCTGGGTGATTATAATATGACGTCACGTCATGACGTATAGGATGACAGACCAAAATCTTCAAGAACCCTCCTACACAAAATTCTAAAATATATTTAGTACATGTCAAAACAGTACAAGAAGTCAACAGGTACTGAACGACTAATTCGGGTTCTACACTGACCCAACATCAAACTAAAAGCGGAGTTAATCTTATTAATAGATATTCCTAAGCGTTTTAACCGTNTACCCCCCCCCCCCCCACCCGGCAACTCTGACCTAACCTGACCTAGAACTGTAGTTATTTCAATCTAGCTGAAATTGATTGGTAACTATGGACCATTAATCAAAGTTGATGTATTTCTCTACCCGAGATTTTTTTATCAATATTCAATAATCAATTTTCACCTTGTATTTTATCAATCACTTTTTTATCACTTAATAATTAGAGTGGAAAACTTGATTTTCTTGATGAAAACAACTTGAATCTACAACGTTTCGATTTATATTAACAATGTTCTTATATCACAACGTTTCGACAATAATACATTTCAAGGTTGAAAGTTGATCATGTTTCATTCTTGGTACAAACATCACAAACTTACAACGTTTCGACAATGATCCAATGAATATATGTAAATAGTTTTCCGAAGGAAATTCTAAAATATTCCTCTCTCGAGGAATTCTTTATCACCTGTCGACAGGTAATCTCTCTCTCGAGGAATGTTAAGACTCTGAATGTAATGCCACCATTCTATTGTCTAAAATCTCCACGGCATGTTAATTCAAATAAATCAGAATTATTTCAATATCTCTTGAGAGGTCTAATAATTCCACCCTGGAATGCCAAGAAGTATTATCTTCAATGGTGGTTTATAATGTCTCATTCTCTCTGGAATGTCGATTCTCTAACAGAGAATTAAAGAGTAAGCTAAGAATGTTTAAAGGCCATGGTGCGCTATTTATGGGGTGTTGATTTGGGTCTTGAATATGAAATTAGTCTTCAGTAGTACTAGAAATGTACGAAAATCGCAATATTTCTTTAAAAATACCCCAAACAAGTAATTTCACTTTTCTTTTCTATATAATATGTTATGACAGAGTCTAAAAAAAGACGTGAACGCTATAACGAATAAACTTAGCAAAAAAAATTCCCGTTTCTGAGACTTAGGTACGATTGGTCAAACAGATGGGGAACCTTTCCCTTTAAAGATTGTAAAATAAGAAATATGACGTAAAGCTCCATTACTGAAGAAATTTAACCCCAAATTGAGAAAAACAATCCATGATGTTATCTCTGTATCTTAATTAATTCAGTTTTAACAGCGCTGAGCTTGTCGACCAGGATTGAGAGCTGTTGAAGTACGCTGTTAATTCTCTTAAAACAACGATTTCAACAAATATCTAGGCGAGTCGTTTCGTCTATATCGGTCAGGTGCGAAATATCCCACTGAGTCGATTCGTTCACAACACAGTGTGAGAAAGATCTGTGAGACGGCTGGGGTGTAATGGTCACGTGATGTGGATTAACGAGGGATTAAGACCTAGATTAGCCTCAACTGTCCAGTGAACTCTGGTCGTATAGTATCGTGACGGCGGCTTGCCTCTAGATTAACCTACTGTTCTACTTTATATCTCTCTGAAGATCCTATGCAGAAAAGTAGGACGTAAAACTTCATTCATTTCATATCTTAACAGGACACCCTGCAATACCCGATAGACCTACTAGTTTGTGACTGGGCGCGTTTTCAGACAGTCAACGAGCTTATAATATCTATTAAGTATTTAGGTCCGTCAACTTGGTATCTCTTTCAGAGAGTCCATGTAGCTGATAATGTGTTTTTAGTATTTCAATTTAGCATGTCTTTCAGAGAGTTCCCACAACCAATTATGTTTGTTTGGCATTTTTTTCCATCTCGGAGAGTTCAATATCGGACATTATGAACGTATGAACCGACAACAATCTTGTCAAGTTTTCCTAAAAATTGTAAATTAGAATGATGTAGATAAAAGCTATAAGTGTCTCTGATACACATACAAAGAAACAAAAACCTTCCAGACCCGTTTTAAGCTTAATATATAAACTCAAACCAAACTACTATTTTTTACTAAACCTATCTTGAGTCTAAAACCTTCAGAACTGTATATAATTAGATATCTTATGTTAAAATTGTCGAGTAAATATTACATTGTATATTGTAAGAATAGAACTTGTAAGATTACAATAGTTGATAAACATAGAGTCCATATACAATATAATAATATTAGGGGCGGGGCGTAGCCTGGGCGAGGAATGGTGTAGAAAGTTTGGAACGTTTCCCTCATTTTGTGACAGTGAATTCGAATGCGAAGAACGTCGAAAAATATAGAACTCGGTCACATTTGTGGTATGACAGTGGTCGTGCATCCAACTTCTCCCGACAACTCCCACCCCCACCCCCCTCCTCTTCCAGTCTACGCCCCGATATATCATAGTCAGTCAATAAACAGTATATTGAATATACAATACACATACCGTTATATAATCCGAGTTATTCCAGCCCTAAATTGTTTAGTTTGTGGTGAGACCTAAAAAGCCCTATGGGTACATAAAACCCTACGTAAGAACCCTTCGAAAGGATTCGGAGTATGCATATAGAATACTCGCAATAAAAACCAGTATTACCCTTGTGAGAGGGTCGAGATAGCAGGTAGACCTAGCCTAAAGGACTAAAAAATAAATATTCATGATGTTACGCGATTTTAAAATGGGCCAATCAACACATTACTACACATGGTTTGTTTTGTAAATTTTAACACACACGTGAAAATCGTAAGCAATATGCCAATACGTTTCTCGGACTTGATATACGACTGGGATATCGGCACTTTTACCTATCAGTTCCTCGGACGTGATTTACGGATGAGATATCGACACGTGCCGAAATCCCATCACGTCTGAGGAACGAGTAAGACCAGATTTGTCGCGTTTAGAGTGGGGGCAACAATGAATTGAAAAAATTCCAACCAACCAATTCCATTACTGCAACTCAACACCAAATCCCATTGCCCATCTGGATATACTACTTGCCCTTCCGATAACAATAAAGCCTGGGTAGGTCCAGAGTTGTCGGGCTACAGTAGGCACTATTATATATATAGGTAAATTAACTATGAAGTATAAACAGGTAGAATGAAGACTGTTGACTCAATGTCAAAACACTATCTAGATATTGACAGGTAACTGATAGAGGTAGACATACTACAGTGTGTGACCTTCTGGCATACCACAAATATATACTGACATTCATTGCCTTGTATTGGATGACCGTACAGCCCACTATAAAATAACACATTAAAAATCAAAACAGGGTTTTACGTTTTCTGACATTAATTGTCTTGTATTGGGAGACTGCATAATCAACTATAGCCGATAGTATTGTCATCAATACAGAAGGCATTATCATCAAAACAGATGGGAATTATCATCAAAACAGATGGGCATTATCATCAATACAGAGGGCATTATCATCAATACAGAGGGCATTATCATCAAAACAGAGGGCATTATCATCAAAACAGAAGGCATTAAAATCAAAACAGATGGGCATTATCATCAAAACAGATGGGCATTATCATCAATACAGATGCGCATTATCATCAAAACAGAGGGCATTATCATCAAAACAGAGGGCATTATCATCAAAACAGAAGGCATTATCATCAAAACAGAAGGCATTATCATCAAAACAGAGGGCATTATCATCAAAACAGAGGCCATTATCATCAATGCAGAGCGCATTATCATCAAAACAGAAGGCATTATCATCAAACAGAGGCCATTATCATCAATGCAGAGCGCATTATTATCATTACAGAGGACATTATCACATTATCACCAATATAGAGCATATTATCATCATTATTTTCCACCATGTTATAGAGCATTATCATCATTGTAGAGGGCATTATCAACAAATAAAAGACATTATCATCAATAGAGAGGGCATTATTATCATTACAGACAATATAATGGGCATTATCTTCACTAAAAAGGGTATTATCACCAATACCGATAAATTAAAATGGAGATTCACGTCGCATAACTCAATGCGAAGTATTTTTTAGGGGAAATTGATTTCTTTTCCTATATAACCCAAATTTATTGTCTAAAACATCTTGAATGATTCGAAACAGCTAAACAAAGGTCTTGAAACTTTGAATATCTTTCCTACACCTTCACAATTCAGATTGTTTTTTCTTACTCCATTAAGCTATTGATAACTGAGAAAATTGCATGTATATTAAAACTTTAAACAAATACATTAAGCTATCGATATAAAACCTTGAACTTCACATTGAAACTTCAAACAAATACAGTTATTAAAATTTCAACATAATTTCACTTGTTTACCTTCTATACCTCACCTAATCTTTATAGTCAATATTCAATTGTAAAGGGATGTCATCATCTAATATCCTGTATATCAGAAAGTTAACCCCTCTTCCTAATCAAACAGTGCTGACGAGGCTGTTGTATCTGAAACAGATGTCGGCAGCATGGGCTGTAGCCAGCTAGTCTATACCAGACTAACAAATATTTAATTTGGAAATGTTTTCGGATTTCTGTCTTGGAACGCAGGGGCACTTGTACAATAACTTCACTTCTGCTTGTCCAAGTGTAATGTGATTTTGGTATCAAGTCGGTTCGCCCTTTTATATATTTGATATTGGGGTTACCATGTTGGCCCTAGTTATACTTTTGCTTTGTCAAGGGCACTAACTCCTGATTCAACGTGTCGATACTTCAGTCCAAAATAAAACAATATGGGGGACTGTGACTTGAAGAAAATGATAACGTTTTTAAAAAGTAAAGGTATTAGAATAGTTTTAAAACTAGAGAGAGAAATTATATTGAAACATGGTAAAAATCTTATTCTTGTTAATTTTAGCACGTTTACACACAGACCTGTCAGTTTTCATTATTTACATATCTTAATAGATTCAAATTTATTATTATCATAAATCTTGATATTTATCGTGAAAATTTCTTTGACAGTCATTTTTAGAGAAAAAACTATATCTTTGACAATAATTCTAAATCTTATTAGACCAATTAGTCATTCTTAAAATTATTGATCATCTGGTACGAGAATTACTTTGACAGCTTAGGTTTTGGAAAGAAGTCTAAATTTTTCTTTACTTTCTAACCTTTGTTATCTATTCCTTATATTTTTCTGTCCACTGCCCGAGTGTAAGACTTCCTTTGACGTAATGATATGAATTAATATTTTTACTGATTCAAGAACCAGGCAAGATCCCATTTATCGCAATCCAAACCACATGAATGATAACTAAAACTAAAAACAAAACAGACAAAATAATCAGGTAGATATGAAAATAGTAGTGTATATATTTACCTTAAACTAATTTCTTGAACACAAATAAAATATCCTTATTGAAGATTTCTTGAACACAAATAAAATATCCTTATTGAAGATTTCTTGAACACAAATAAAATATCCTTATTGAAGATTTCTTGAACACAAATAAAATATCCTTATTGAAGATTTCTTGAACACAAATAAAATATCCTTATTGAAGATTTCTTGAACACAAATAAAATATCCTTATTGAAGATTTCTTGAACACAAATAAAATATCCTTATTGAAGATTTCTTGAACACAAATAAAATATCCTTATTGAAGATTTCTTGAACACAAATAAAATATCCTTATTGAAGATTTCTTGAACACAAATAAAATATCCTTATTGAAGATTTCTTGAACACAAATAAAATATCCTTATTGAAGATTTCTTGAACACAAATAAAATATCCTTATTGAAGATTTCTTGAACACAAATAAAATATCCTTATTGAAGATTTCTTGAACACAAATAAAATATCCTTATTGAAGATTTCTTGAACACAAATAAAATATCCTTATTGAAGATTTCTTGAACACAAATAAAATATCCTTATTGAAGATTTCTTGAACACAAATAAAATATCCTTATTGAAGATTTCTTGAACACAAATAAAATATCCTTATTGAAGATTTCTTGAACACAAATAAAATATCCTTATTGAAGATTTCTTGAACACAAATAAAATATCCTTATTGAAGATTTCTTGAACACAAATAAAATATCCTTATTGAAGATTTCTTGAACACAAATAGGTTATCCGACTGATCTATTTGAAGCTATAATAAAATAGGTTATCCGACTGTTCTATTTGAAGATAATAAAATAGGCTATCCGACTGATCTATTTGAAGATATAATAAAATAGGTTATCCGACTGATCTATTTGAAGATAATAAAATAGGTTATCCGACTGTTCTATTTGAAGATAATAAAATAGGTTATCCGACTGTTCTATTTCAAGATATAATAATAATAATACCAGGTCTATAGTAATATTAGAGGAAATAATATTCTGCATAATGGAAACTACGATCTATTTATAGATATGATTATTTATCTTCTTCCATTAAATTATAATATATATATTAAGTAATTATCATTTGATGTTTGTAATTTACCCAAAAAGACAAAAGAAAAGCTGATGTATTTTCTGAAATGTTGCCAAGTATGACGTCATGTTAAAGTGATGATGTCATCAAATGAACCTGACGAAATCTTCTGGCCAGAAACTGAGAAAATGGAGTAAGATCTGTAATAGGACAAAAAAATCTCACGTGTCGCCCACCCATACTTTTTTTCGGCCAAGTTATTTGGTTTTTTTTCAGATATTCTCAGAGATAAAAAGAACAGATAATAAAAACTGAATTTAAAACCAATTTTAGAGACAAACCAATCGTATGACAGTTAAATCTTCTTGAGTTGACCTTCAGAAGTCTTTGATTTTGGCTCCCATATTCGCAAAGATTAAATTGTTCTAAAAGCATGAACCTAACATTATCTTGTAATGCTTCGGAATAAGTCAAACGTTCATCTTTTGTCGTCTAGGCCTATAAGATGTTTCAGATATAAAATCCTCATCAGGACACATGATGCGAAACATAAATCATGAAAATGTAACCTATTGGCACCCAACAGTAGCCTAGGTCTATGAAATCAAAATTGTTTGATGGAAAATTGAGAAAAAATGTTTTTTAAATTCTGCATCACGAGTAAGATCAAAGAATTGTAACATGATGGAGTTGTTTGTCGTCTGACATCTTGACTGCCGTTACATCAACTACAGACAGACGATATAAATAGATACACAAATTAAAATAGGGAGGGGGTTCAACTTTCTTTAAGTGACTGTGTGCCCCAATTTTGAAAAAAACAAAGCCCTTAAAATCTCATTTTTATTTTTTTGGGATTTTCAGCTCTGAAGATCAAATTAACGAAAAAGAAATTTTAAAAAAATTGTAAAAACCGTCCAATCAAAGATCACAAGACAAAACTCCATACCTTTAACATTCACGTGTTTTTATTCATATAACCAAAATTGGAGTCATAAATTGCTAAAAATACATTTTGAAAATTACCTACCTATTTGTAATCCAGTAACAGTTACATAATCCTTAATCCCTTAATCCTTAATCCGACATAAGGTATAAAAATATAAATATATCACAAAAAAGTCAGAAATATCCATGACACACGAAAAATGTTAATATTTTAGATGCTACAGTGGCGGAGCCAGGTTTGAGTCCGTCAATCAAAAACCTCGCCAAAAGTATGGCAAAATCGAGAGTAAAGGGTTGTCGAGTAGTGGATTCCTCCAAAGAGAAGTACCATCAGGTGTTTCTTAAAGAGTAAGCATGGTCTTCTTTGCTCACGACACCCACCACTACTATAATGATCAAAATATTGATACAACCAGATCAAACAAATCAGTCAAAATATCAGAAAGAGATTTATTGTATTAATCAAGGAGTTTCATAAAATTTCCTCCGTCATATTACTCACGATAAACTTTACAGATTAATCAACATTTCTAATAGACCATTATAAAATCAAACTATATTAACAGCAAATACCAGTAGAGTATTTCGTCATCTTTCAGTGGAACATCAAATTGAGAATATAATTCATTAAAAAAACTCGTTCGGCATGAGGTACACAGAAAAAATATATATCTACACATTTAGTTTAAGCGATGGTTTTCAAATTGCTGTAAAAAATCCTCTGAGTAGTCCTACTCCAAGATTATTCCTCCCAGGGACATGTATAGTATAGTCATATGCTATCTATTGTTTAGTTTAGTTTTTATCCCCAAAGGTAAGTACAATTATCCCGACATGTCCCTGTGGTTGAAAAGTAGCGGTGGTTTTCAAATTGCTGAAAATATATCTCCGAGTAGGCCTAATACGAGATATTGTTTCTCAAGGTCGTGTTTACTCATAGGATATGTTTTATATATTGTAGAAAAGTGCAAATGCCCACACATGGAGACATGTCGCTGTGGTTGAGTTAAAAAACTCTATAGTGTAAATAACTCTATACTATGATTATATTATTATTATAGTGAATTATTATATACGAGCATTATATTATTATTATAGTGCAATATACTCTTATATATCTTTAAATATCGACCCATCTTCACAATGTCAAGTTATTACAAACTCCGACTAATACCTTGACATCAATCGACATTTGTCTTGTATCATACAAGTTTGTGAATGCAGCGATTTGTTTGGATTGTACTCTAATGAATACAGCCAATGGGGCCTTCAACAAACACAGCCTTATGGTTTACTGTCTTTCTGTGGCTATGATTGACTATTTTCGCCATCGTACAATATAATCCGTTCATTGCATTTACAAACTTCCAGGATACAAGAAAAGTGCCTGATGATGTCAAGGTATAAGACGAAGATTGTATTATCTTGACATAGTGAAGATGATATTGACTATATTACACCCCACAGTGTTACAATGTATATATAGTTATCTGTTAACACTAAACCTTTAGCACTTAAAGACTAGACATTTCTTTTTTATCAATCATCGTACCTTAGTCTTAGAAACGGGAATTTTTTAGCTAAGTCAATCAATAATAGTGTTCACAGCTCACAGCTCGAAATTTGAGCCTTCAAATCCATGTTTGTCCAGAATTATCTGCGTTTGAAACTTTCTCTATCAATATATAGACATATTTATATGAACATATTCAGTGAAATTCCTATTGTGATTTGTGAATTGTGTAATTTTTGTACATTTCTAGTACTTTTAAATATTATAAACATATATTGAAAGCTCAAATCAACCACCGAAAACCTCTTTTTACTACATACACACACTGTACATCTATAAATATATATATAACACAAACAATAGCGAAATTTATAACAACACTAGTTTATATTACAGAAAGCATAAAAAGTCACCTTGAAATAAGACTTGCAACTTTCTGTTATACACATGTTAGGACAGCTATAATATATATATATTATGTTAAGATATCTTTAATATTCTACAGTTAGCGGCTATAAAACGCCACGTATTATGAAATATATTTTGAAAATCACTGTCACATATTTCAAGACAACCACATATCATATTTTATGCAGCCCATAAAACGCATATTCTGTCAGTGTTCATGTATTATGAAAAATACTGTGTACTATACTGTCAAATTTATGAATATATGATATATAAGTCGTCTCATATGAACATAGACAATTTCGCTGGGATATATCTTAAAATGCATTTATACAAAAAGAAATTATCATACTATGGTTTTTCCGATCATTTTAAGCAAATGACGTCACAAGATTTCAAGCTCTGACTTACTGGACTACAACCCGTCTACAAAAAAACGCAATAATCCTGAGTATGATAAATTATTTCGGGGTTCAATGGAAGGATTTATTCTTTACTTGACTCCGTCAGTCCCCCACCCCTCCGTCAACCCCGACCCCGCCCACCCCTCCATCAACACACACCCCCGACGAAATGATAGATATATAGATATTTGTTTTACTGTTTTTGGACAGAATATATCATGATACAAGATAATATATAATAATACGTGACTGACACGGTTTCATATTACATAGTGATAGAATTTCCTATGCCCCACCCACCCAACCCCCTGTTCGGCCCCCTCATCCAATGTTTCCTAATAACAAACCTTCAACTTCTATAATGGTTTCTATATTGGTTTCTGAAATAGACTTGTTATATAAATACTAAATGAAGGGCGGTACCTGATAGAAGTTGTATAATGATATTTACCATTCCAATGTGTATCGAATTAGAACTATAATGATATTCTGTCTACATTCTATTCTTGAAGATATTTATAGAATTTCAATGGAATAATTCTACAGAACTTCTGTATTCAATTTCTTCGTTCAAGCATCACAGTATCACACAATAACCGGTTTTCTCGGAGAATCCCAATATAGGAGAAAACCTTCTGATGCTGAATTCCAATATTGTCTTGCTTTTTGATTTCTCAACAATTATTTCGGTTTTAAATACTCATATTAATATTAATATAAATATTTACATACACAAAGCTTTTTTGGAATTATATTGGACTAAATTTGCAGATGGAAGGGATTGAATAACAGGCCTTTTCGACTGTCGCAAGCATTGGCTATGGCACCAGGGTTTCTCTTACCTTGAATACGACTGAAACAGAGGGCAGACGACAATCCAACTCATCACTGACTGAGTTATTCCACTGTTCTAGCAGACAACAATCCAACTCATCACTGACTGAGCTATTCTACTGTCCTAGCAGACGACAATCCAACTCACCACCAACTGAGTTATTCCACTGTCCTAGCAGACGACAATCCAACTCGCTGCTGGCTGAGTTATTCCAATGTCCTAGCAGACGACAATCCAATTCACTACAGACTGAGTTATTCCACTGTCCTAGCAGGCGACAATCCAACTCACCACCGATTGAGTTATTCCACTGTCCTAGCAGACGACAATCCAAATCACTACAGAGTAAGTTATTCCACTGTCCTAGCAGACGACAATCCAACTCGCTACTGGCTTAGTTATTCCACTGCCCTAGCAGACGACAACCCTGAGCTATTCCACTGTCCTAGCAGACGACAATCCAACTAGCTACTGACTGAGTTATTCCACTGTCCTAGAAGACGACAATCCAACTAGCTACTGACTGAGTTATTCCACTGTCCTAACAGACGACAATCCAACTAGCTACTGACTGAGTTATTCCACTGTCCTAGCAGACGCCAATCCAACTCGCTACCGACTGAGCTATTCCACTGTCCTAACAGACGACAATCCAACTAGCTACTGACTGAGTTATTCCACTGTCCTAGCAGACGACAATCCAACTCGCTACTGCCTTAGTTATTCCACTGTCACTTGGTGATTAGATGCCATATGTGTTGCAACAGATTTAATTCTGTTTTAATTTCGTTTTTCAGTTGGTGCATTGAGCACTATTTTAACAATGACACAGTCTAGCTTAACTTCCGATAAATTTGCGATAAATTAGATGAAAGAATAAAAAAATCTTTATTTTGACCAACACTCGTATGCCTAAAATTTGTTTGTTTGTGTAAAATGTGAAATACTTATTGGGTATGACATCTGAAAACTGTGACCCTAACTTTTATTTAGAGTTTAATCACGTGTAGATAATCCAATTGTCCTAATCCTAATTACTAATCCTCACTAATCCAAATCATCATAATATTATATGGCACATCCTAGAATATTTCAGTAAGACGTTACAATAGAA